CTTCTGAGTTGGGTCTGCAACGACCAATAATATCAGTTGAGTTGTTGGAATTGGCCAACAAACACATATCAACCAAGGAATATAACTCCAATCCGCTTCCTTCATAGTAAATTCCTGCACCCGTCGCTCGCAGAAGAGGGTGCCCACAGGCGAAAGGTGGAGGTTGAGACATGGTTCGCATCCTTCCGCCAACCCTCTCTATGAAGACGCTCAACTACTCCAGGATCACAGGGAGACTGTAGATCGTACCACTAAGGGAGTCAAGCCCGATAACTTGAGCAGTGGTCGGCTTGATACCATGAGCACTCGCTGACTAACCACGGCGTATCAAAAGCAACTCCTATGAAAATTTCAATGGTCAATATAGTGGAGGCCATACAAAATAAAAACTACTTCAAAACAAAACCCTTGATGAAGACCGAAGCTTATCTGCGAAACTCCAAAAAGTATTGTGCCTACCATCAGGACTATGGACACTAATCAGAGGAGTGCCACCTGATCGAAGAGCTGATCGAGGACATGAAACTTAAGTAGTGTGGCTCCAGAAGTAATGGCCCAACGACATGGGAAAGCTCCACTGGAATAAATATTGTCCAAGCCCATGAAATCCACGTCGTTGCATAATTACAGCTAACTTAGGAAGAGTTGGAAACTCATCTTGTCGAGCCAGTTTAAAGTAACATTAATCGGGAGAACCATGCACAACCACCAGAATGCCCAAACCCAGCTCACATCACCCCATAACTTTCACCAATGAAGATTTGTCCCCTATGGGTAAACTCTATAACAACGCTATCGTCGTCGCCGAATTGATCAATAACTAAAAGATATGTAGCACCCTCATAGACATTAGCAGCTTAATGAACATCTTGTTCAAGTCGGTATTCGATAAAATGGGCCTTGGCAATGACTGATTAACAGTTGTGGTTGAGCCACTCCATGGTTTCTCTTGCGCGAGGAAGGAAGCGTTGGGAACCAACACTCTAACAGTTATTTGAGAAGAGAAGGATAAGAAGTTCACCAACAAAACAAACTTCCAAGTGGTTGACTAACCACCCACTTACAATGTCATCATTGGTCGTCCCTTGCTCAGCTCCTTCAAGGTCATCATCTCAACTTTTCTAAAAGGTTAAGTTCTAATTTCCCACACCCCTAAGTCTAGTTTGAAGGTTCAGGTTTACAAGTAGTAATAGATTCTAAAATCCTAATGCAGAAATAAAATATCAAAACTAAATTTCATTGGAGTTATTCATAGGTTAAAACTTCATACTTCTATAACATTGATCTAATGATTCATCAATATTTTACTTATGAGTTTCCAACCTTGTCGTTGACAATCAGGGATAAATCCTACTTAACCTATGTTTAGGTCATAAGAAACATTGAAAACCTGTATGACAACAAAGCGAACTTAACCCTGCATAGTTTCTCAAGAATCTGTTAATCCTCTATCTATGTTGCACTCTTCTATTGATAAAATGTCTATTCTATTAGGTGAGTGTGTGTTAACCTACATATTCTTCAAATCAATGGTTTGAAGTCCTAGATCACAAGAAATTTTAACTTTCTGATTTGTCAGCTCAAAAGTAAATTATGATCAGAAGGTTAAAATATCAACATATGAAATTAAAAGCACAAAAAAATGCCTAAAAAAAACTCATGAATCAAAAAATTGATTAAACCCATGTCTTACATTACAAAAGTATGAAAGAGAAGTAGATACTATACATGAGGGAAAAAACACGGGAATTTTAATTGAAAACATTAAGAAAAATAACGTTAATAGAAAAAAAATTTCACACCTGAGCCAATCGTCCTTTAAAATATTCTGCAATCTTCTAATTACAATGCCAAGTCTCCAGGAGTTTCCCTCGTACAAGTGCACACGAATCTCTCTTCCATAACTCTCACTACTAAATAAAAATACCCTAGAATCTTTCCCAAAAAAGAACTAATGGAGAGAAACCTAGGGAAAAAATAAGACTCCCTCGTACAAGTGCACACAAATCTCTCTTCCATAACTCTCACAACTAAAAAAAAAATACCCTAGAATCTTTCCCAAAAAAGAACTAATGGAGAGAAACCTAGGGAAAAAATAAGACTCCCTTAAACTCTGGAAAATGACAGCCTTTAGACAACGAGTTGTCCCCCTAATCTTCCATTCATTCCCTTGTATACTTACGGTTCAAATTCATCAAAAATTCCTTCCAATTTCTCGTACTCATGGAACAGGGCATGATGTCTGAAGGGTCGGCGCGGACACGCTGCCTATTCACGCAGGAGTGTGGCATGCCTCTTATTGGCACAAGCATATTAGTGGTTTTTTATTCAATTTGTCATCTTAACTTCTCGAAGTGCGCTCAACACCTATATCATGTAAAGCATAACAAAAACACATTCTGCAAGTGCAAAAACATCATAATAAAAAAACTAAAGCATGATATTTACAATAATAATAATAATAATAATAAAATCATAAATTTGATTCATATCACTCCACTCCCCGAGGCATGTTCCTCCTAAGGTCTCCAACTGTAGGTGGTTGTCAGATTGACAGTAGTTGCCTATTCTGCATCTATTATCTCTCCACTTTCAGTGCTAAAGTCTGCACTTCCCTCAGTGTCCAATAAGGTTGCAACTGGACCACATTACTGATGGTGGAGTTCAATCCTCCCAAATACCTTGCTATGGCGTGCTCCTCTATCTCCTTCAACTCACATTTTTACTTAAGCTATATAAATTATGTTTTGTACTCCACCACTAATAACTCCGTCTCCTGCATGTTATGATGCTTCAAGAAAATATCTTAGTAGTAACTTCGGGGTTGGTAATGTCACAGCATCTCCCGATTCATCTTTTCCCAAGAAGTGACTTTGTCATATTCTCTCTACATCTCCCTCTTCAAATTCTCCCACTGCAAATAAACATTCTTCTTCAGTTTAATAGTGACAAGCTTCACTTTTCTGTTATCAGGCACCTCCATATATTCAAAGATCTGTTCAATTGTCTGCATCAACTATAGAAAGTCAGTTGGATCCATTCTCGCCTCGAACTCCAATAGATCCACTTTCATTCCCAGATTTCTATATCCTCCAATAGGCACATCTTTGTATCTTCCAACAAGCAATCCATACCTATATCTTTAACAAGCATCTCATCTATGTATCCCCCAACAGATGTCTTATTTATGTATCATGTAACAAGCATCTCATCACTATATCCTTCAACAAGCTCATCTTTGAATCTTACAACAGGCACCTCATTTCTATATCTTCCAGTAGACAATTCAACTTTGGATCTCTGCTGATACTGTACCTAAAAGTGTCGTGGCATGTCTTCCTCTCCATTGGATTTAGGTGTTCTACTTCCTCTCCTTCTCGGTTTTCACTATTAGAGTCGACGGTGATCCCATCCTAGGTTCTATCCTCAAAGGCATTGAGTCGATGTAGCACGTGATGGAGTAGCCATTGTATGTAGTCCAACATAGGTTCTTAATCAGATTTGGCAATTGTCTCAATGGTGGCTTGATTGGAATTTTGGAAATATACGGATGGAAGAAATAATGGGAAGAGGATTTTTTTTTTTTTTTTTTTTTTTGGACATTATTTTTCAAAAGCAAAAAAAAAAAAAAAGGAAAATAAAATTGTTTCAGTAGCCACTCTCACGAAATACGGTAGCAACAACAATGCCACAAAAATTTGATGCGGGAAAGCTTCCGCGTGATCTAGACTTTTTTTGGTTCACTAGGTTGAGGGAAGATAAATAACTGCTAAACATATGAGGAGCATTTACATACATACCACCCCATTCCTATATACTTACATATCTAACACCTAAACTTTATGTTTTACATTTTTACCACCCAAATCTTTCATATTATATTAAAAATACCACTATAAGTAAAAATTGAAGTTAGGTGCAGGATATGTAAAGACAAAGGAATTAATTGGTAAGTGTTTAATTCATCTAACATATAATTACAGATTTACATCACAAGCAAAGGGGCACATCCAGAGCTCCCGCCAATGCACAAATCTTACTCTTAAATTACAGAAATGTTGATCTACAAATTCGATTTAATTCAAAAACCTCTATGCAAGGGTATATCCATATGGATATATAGAAGCATATTTTATACTCAAAAGAAGTTAATATGCAAACAGTCATAAATAAAAATACAAACATAAGCCGAAAAAAATAGCCTTTTATTCAATCAATAGAACTTATAATTCATCCAACAAATCAATAGCATAAATATCTGATAAAAAGAAACGAGAAAAGTCTCAAAATAATCATCTGTCTTTTTGTAAGGGGTCATTTTGGTCTGCCTATAAAAGTGCTAATTTAGTCTCCAAATCTTCTAATATGGGTCGGAATAATCCTCGAGTCAGAGGACGAATTTGACACTTTTATAAACTCCAGGACTGATCACATGTAAATAATCAGGAGCCTATTTTAGCACTTTACTCCAAAAGAAACTAAACGAACAACAACAAAAGCAAAACAATCCAACATAAAACAATATAACTAGAATTAAATATGATTGTCTCTTAACCATCCCTAGCAAAAGGTTTAATTTATTTGAAAATTGGATATGCTGTTTTAATTGAGACACTTTTATAAACTCCAGGACTGAAATGATCACATGTAAATAATCAGGAGCCTATTTTAGCACTTTACTCCAAAAGAACCTACACGAACAACAACAAAAGCAAAACAATCCAACATAAAAGAATATAACTAGAATTAAATATGATTGTCTCCTAACCATCCCTAGCAAAAAATTTAATTTATTTGAAAATTGGATATGCTGTTTTAATTGAGAACAGCCTTTCCAACCCTCTTACCAGAGGCAAAAACCTTTGGAAGAAGATGCCAACCAAGCTTTTTTTCCAAAATCAACAACGTCATAATCCATTAAATTGACCTGCAAAAAATGATTTATAACAACTAAATAGATTAGGAAAATTCTGGGATGAATTGGAGTCCCTCATTGAAGTAACATGCTTCTGCTTTCAGTCTTGTCGACAAATTCCCACTGAATTTACAAAGACAATCCATTTGCGCACCAGTTATCTTAACAAAATTATTATTTTTCTGTTACACTCCTAATAGTTACAATCAAACTATACTGCAAAAGCAATGCAATCGCATGCATTGCAAAAAATCTATGAACAAAATTATTATTTTTCTGTTACACTCCTAATACTTACAATCAAACAAACATTTGGAGAAGAAACCAATAGATGAAGAAGATAAGAAAAAATTTTAGTATTCTTGGAAATTTTCTCTGTGAGCTGGGTATAATTCACTTCGAAAATAATGCAATTAGGTATATGGCTCGTATAATCGTATTACACTAGAAATACCGTTCGATAATCTGTGAGAGCGCAGAGACGAAAATGATTTAGGAAGATTTCATAGCATTGCAGAGGTTGTTGTAAGCATCAACACAGAGCTTGAACTTCTCTGCTGCCATATCCTGCATTGCAGCTCATTTCTGTTAGAATTCAGGAATGAATAATATAGGGGCTGTTTGGGATCAATTTTATTTCTTGTTTTTGTTTTTTGAAAACAAAGAAGAGGAAACAAACAGAAAAACAGTGTTTGTTTAATTGTTTTTACTTTATTTTTAGAAATAACACATTTTTTTTTAAAATTTTCAAAATAGAACTTTTTAAAACACGTTAAACACGCCCGTCTCTAAACACATATTATAAATAATTATAAATAAGCCTTCATAAAACGCAATACTAGAATGTCATGTGGGCCCAATCATTTTATAAAAAATATAGTTTTCTTTAAAAATAATAATAATAAATATCCAACCAAACATGTTTTATATTTATTTTTAAAAACATATAAATCATAATAGTCTCAAACGTGTTTTCTAAAAATAGAAAATAGAAAATAAAACAAAAATAAAAATAAAAAACAGAAAGTGATCCCAACAGGTTCATAATATTTAAAAAACAGATTATGGTGATGTAACTGATATCCATGATTAGTTAAAGTGATGTGACAAAGTCTATGAATATATAAAAGGGGTATTTGCAGACATAGCACAAAATTCTAAACTCGTATTTACTCACATAACACTCAAATCTTTAATATCACATAAAAATAGCACTATTACCTTTTTAAAAAATGAAATACACTTTTTCATGCATAGATTTAAAGCATTAAAATTCTATGTATGTAAATATCAGAGCTTAAACTTGAGCTATGTAAATACATAAAAATTGTGTGCAATGCATGTAAATTTTTGCCATAAAAAATGGACTGTTATGTAATGTAATTAACTACAATAAGCCACGAACAACAAAAGAATTTAGATATCTGTAAAAGCTACTTAAAAATATACAATTATATGTGAATTGCAATGCAATGGGGATAAATCAATTTAAAAACATTAGCTGAAATTCATTGAAGTCCAAAAACAAAGCATATTATACCGATCTAGTTAATGATGCTCCTACAAATATATCCTGTCACCTCAGATAGCTATGCCGTCAAGCGTTTATAATAATGTGCATTGGAGAGATGTGATTGTGAATCATCCAAGCTTTGTTATAAAAAATTAAAAAAAAAAACATGGAAAAGTTTCATCAAATAATTAAGCGGGGTTCACATAAATACCACACAATTCTTATGTATTAACACTCAAATCTTCCATATCACATCAAAAATAACACTATCTCTAACTTCTAAAAAGTGAAATACTCCTCTTCATGCACTAGTAAGGTTACTTGAATCTAAAAATCAAAATTTAGGTGTAAGATATGTAAATACAAAGCAATTTTGTGGCATGTTTGTAAATCTTCCAATAATTAAAAAATAGCATGAATAGCTAACCTGTGCAAGGCCATGATGTTTGTCAGGGTGCCACTTCAGTGCAGACTCACGAAAACTGTAATTTGTTAAAAGAAAGAACAATTGAGACTCCAAAACTTTATATTACAAAAAAACTCTGCTGTAGGGTTTTAAATGTTATGGCTAAACAACTCACGCTCTTTTAACGTCCGCTAAACACAAAGGACCTGAAGCTGGCAACCCAAGAGCTACTCTATTGGAATGTTGATCTACAACATTTGCTTCTTCTTCGATATCACTTTCACTCCAAACCCTTCCCCTGTTTTTCTCTGATTTTGATTCATCCTTCCATTCAAAACCAGGTGTAGAGTTTTGGTAATTACAGTTCTCCCATGTGTTGAAGGACCAGGTGAAAGACTGCTGTCCACCAAAATTTGCAGTAAATATCATCCCAGGTTGCCCGAGTTCTTCTTCATCAGAGAAGCTCTTCTTTCTCTGCCGACCTAGTTCAAAAAAGAGTTGGCTAAGTGAAATTTCTGATATGAGAAGAACCGCATTTAATTGAAAATCATGTTGCAAGGACCACCAATTTGATATAATATGCAGTGATAAACAATACATGATAGATAATAAAAAAGACCAACCAGTAAAGTTATCGTTGGCCATCTTAACCTTTTCAAGTTTAAAAAAAATGTTAACTGGTAAAGTTATCGTTGGTGTTTTAAAGTTCAGAATCATTTTATGGTGTATGAAGGTTTGAAATTAGCTTGGGTATTAAAAGATGGATAAAGAGAGGTAAATTAAAGAGAAACTAGAGAGGGATAAATATTAATTGCAATATTGTACTACATAATATTTTTATCACGTGAAACGAAACTTCTTGGCTTAGAATGTTTAGAAGATCTGGGAATTTCTTTGGCTTGCAAAAATTTTTAATATTATTTTAAAAATTAAAAAGAAGCTTGGTGAATGAATAAAGAGTCTATTGGCTCTAGTTTTTAAGAGTAAAAGAGATGTACTTAGAGAGGAATTAAGTTAATGTGTCATGCATTAAAGTTATGGGAGAGTAATTGAAAAATAGATTACAATGAGATACAAAACTTTCTCAAAATCAGTTTGGATACATGTCGGGAAAGTATATCATGGAAGCAATACATTTATTGAGAGATTTGATGGAGAATTACAGGGAGAGTAAGGAGGACTTACATATGATCTTTTTTTTTTTAAATTTAGAAAAAGCTTATGATAAAGTTCCAAGAGCAATAGTTTAGAGAGTTGTAGAAAATAAAAGTGTTGTATTGTTTATATTCAAGTCATTACAGATATATCTACTAAAGTTGTTACTTGTGTTCAAACACTATGATGATTGACTAAGTATTTTCTTATTTAGTTGGATTATATCAAGGATCGGCTTTAATCTCATATCTTTTTCTTTAGTTATGGATGTTTTTACTGGACATTTATAGAAAGATGTACCTTGGTGTATACATTTCATTGATGATATCCTTCTTGTGGATAATACTAGAGAGAATTTAGGAGACTTGAATTATGGAGGTCAACTATAAAATCTAAAGGCTTTTGTTTGAGTAGATCTAAAATTAAATACATGGAATCTAATTTTAGTAGTAGATCAAGTGGCGGGGTTGTAACAATAAGTGACCAAGTCATTAAAAGACGTGAACGTTTTAGATAACACATGTCAATTTTTCAAAGTGATGGAGATATAGATGAAAATGTCATTAAAAGAAATGAGAAATTTTTTAGCTATTTCTGGAAAGGCCCTATAGAATAAGTTGAGTGTTAAGTTCCAGTTCAATTCAACAGTGCACCCACGAATAGATGGTCAGACATGAGTGGTGAATCATAGCATTGGAAATCTCCTTAGGTGTTTTGTTGGAAAGAACATCCAACAATGAGATCTAAGTTGTCTCAGAGAATAAGAAGCTTCTCCTAGCCGCGAAGTGACACGAAAGCATCTCGCCAAAGTCATAGGATTAGAGATCCTGCGATCCCAATCGCGAAAACTCTGTGATACCATAATGCAGAACGCAATATTGTCTCCGGTTCAAGATAATGTGATTTCACAACTCACAACCCTCGCAGGAGTATCTATTGACTCAATACTTTCTTATTTTCATTTTTAATTTCAGCGAGTTTTTTTTTCCTTTTCATATTTTTTTCATATTTCTCTAGATTCTAGTTAGATTATTTTCTAATAAGGGACATTTATATATTTGGTGTTTGGTTGTTTTGAGACATTAGTTATTATGCCTTTTTGTTTTAAAGATTTTATTATTTATTTTGTGCTCTTCAGAGAGTTGTATCCTCTTCTTTTTGCAAGTGGTATGTTTGAATCTTGCTCAGAAACAGGTGGATGAACCTCTTCGTCACCAGTACTTTGTCGTTTCATCATTCAACCGTTGTTTTCAATCCAGACAGCAGCCAAACCCTTCCAATGTGTTGTTCAACAATAGATTTCACATCCTATCTCCTTCCAAGCTAACCGCCCCAATCATTATTCTCGTAACATTTCACGATTACCTCCACACAAAACCCAGTTCCTAAACATCTTCTAGGGGCCCTAGAACGGTGTCAAACATGAGGCAATGCTTAACAAAGAGCAAGTTTAAAAAGGTCATGATGGCTTGGAGAAAGATCAACACTATGATTTGACGAGGTAGACTATGGAGTGTGAGAAGACAAGCTATGTCAATGGCCAATCTAAGGTAACCTCTTGTAAAACCACTTAAAATTTATTGAGTCTTTAAGCATGTGATCGTTAGAAGTATAGAGGAAAAAGGAAAGTTTGTGTATGTGGATGTAGATTGGGACCTAAATCATATTTAGATACATTCATACACTATATTGAACATACCCTTTATCTTTTGCCTCCCCACTTCACCTCTCAATACTCTATGCACTATGAAGGCTTAATCTATTGGTTTCTAGTGTCATTCAAAGAGGAAAAAACTGATGATACTAACAGAATTTTGCATTCTTTATGCTTCCTTCTTGCTAGGATTTTTCTTGCACTTAAGTGCTCGCAATTTATTTTTAAGAAAATCTATGTATAATTAAAACTTACTGATGTTAGTGTTTTACTTGGTAGCCCTTTAAGATCATTTTATTCAATAATAAAGTGAAATATCACTTTAGTTTTTAGGGTATATGGTCTTAATGATGATTTTAATGAGTTCTTAACGTTCTATTGTTTTTAACTTTTTTTTTTTGGCATCTCTCTTGAATTCAACGATAACGATATTTCTTCTTGTTAGCCATGGATGATGCAATATTCACAATCAAAGTCTACTATAAAAGGATTATTGAGGAAGTTGACAAGGAAGAAGCTGGTTGATATTCAATTCTTAATTTTAAGGAAGATGTTCTACATGTTGCAAAGAGTTTGAATGTTAATATAATGCCTGTCACTTAATAATTTGGTTTAAGACTCCTGGGAGATCTATTTTACTGAGAAATGATAATGATTTAATAAACATATTTAGAGACCATACAAAATGGGGGAACATGAGAAGAAAATGGACAGCTTATTGTGGATAAAGCGTACGAATTAATGGAGATGATATTGAGATTATATAGAAAAAGAAGATCCCATTTCTAGTGGATAGTATGTGAAGGACGGTATCATCAGAAGAAGAGGATTTATGAGCATTTTCTGCTGATCATTAAAATGAAGAGAAGTAGGCTTAGTGATGATTTCATAGATCTAATACTATTGCAATGTATCTAATTTAGCATTAAGTTCAGCTCATTCTTGAAGTCGTCCACACTTACTTTTAGCATATCTAAAAGATTTCATATTTCACATGCTCGTACTCTTCCACTTCCATAGGTTCCTGACTTTAATAAGCTCAGAGCAAGCATCATTGAAAAAACTAACACAAATTCTTTGCAAATGCTAAATATAACTTGTCCATACTTGCAACTAAAGAGTTCGCACTATAGCACACCCGTTGCATCTACAAATACTTTAAATTTCGTTTGATCATCAGGGATGCTTTTGACGAGCACAATCAATGTAATAATAGGGCAAAGTAATACATTTTACTAGTTTCATTGCGTTTCATGTTAAAAAATAATGCTAAATAGATTATCTAAAAATCATAGAAAAATAAGCATAGAAACTAAATAAGTTTGATGGATGCATAACCAAGGGATAATCACATCTACACTTACAATTCCATTTTGGTAAACATCCCTGCAATGTTTAAAATTGCAGATATTGAGACGTTTTTCATTCATGAGGAGAGTCGTAAACCTCAAGACATTTCGAGGCATAAGTCTCAGATTTAAAAAAAAAAATACATTAATTAATAAATATTATATAAACTATAAAGTATGAGGTAAGAAATCATATATTAATATTCTAATTTATTAATACATTAAAAGTAACGTAAATAACCTACAAATAAGATCAATTATATAAACATTAAAGTATCAAATTAAGCTAAGATGTTAAAATAAAACATTGAAACATCAAAACATAACAATCAAACCAAGTTCAACATTAATCTTTCTATCTCACTCATACTACCTCACACTTGAATAAAAATATAACAAATTATCAACATTTAAATTTTTTTATTTTAAAGTCTCTATTACTCTCATCACTTAATTGATTTTCATAAGAATCCACAACATAATGAATTACTTATCTCACATTTTATACTTAGTCATATCAATTGATTTTCATAAGAATCGTCAACATAGTGAAATACTTATCTCATGTTTTATACTTAATCGTATCTATATTCTCTCATTCCTTTTTATCTTTAATACCAACAATTTTAATTAAAATAATAACTATATTGATAATTAGTATTTCAACTACATAATTTTTTATGAATACATTTTTATTTTAGTTCTTGTTATTTAGTATGTGAGGTGTGAAGATTGATAAATAAGGTATATTGATATTGTTTTTAGTTTTGTTTAAAAAAACTTCAGATAGCCTCAAAATTTTTGAGGCATTTTTTGAGATGAGGCATGCCTTGGGGTGCGCCTCTAGGCACGCCTCAACCTGGGTGAAGCATACCTCTCACCTTGGGACAATGAATCTTAAGCTTCATTGTGATTTTTTATAAAAAGCGCTGAGGCAGGCCTCAAGTTGCGGCTCATATTGTGCAATTTTAAACAAGGCATCCATGCATTCTTCTCTATCATGATACAACCCTCCATCTCTTCCTCGGATTTCTTGGGCTCATCCTTTCATCAACACTTGTTACCCTATAACTTGAGTTGTTGCACCTATTTTTGATCAACTTATTCAAAGGGATGCTTGTTTTCCAAACTCTTAATAGTCCTTCAAATCCTTCATGAAAGTCTCACGTCAATAGTAGAAGTATTAACAACCATCTCTAAAATCAATCGAAGGTATTCACTCGGATACATCTTCGTAATGACCCACTTGAGAGGTACATGAGGATTATGGTCTTACTTTGTCTCACATAAGCGCTTAGGTGAGCAAATATTTGTCTTAACAGCA